AAATGTATAAATTATTATTTTAGGTGGAGATAATGGACTGAATGGCTGGCCTGGACGACAAGGAATTAAAGGTATAGTGTACACGAATAATAACTCTACTTCTAAAGAAATGTTATTTTCAACAGATGAAGATTTTCAACTAAAAAATTAGAGAGTTTCATTTGAGAAAGAAAAATAATTTTTCCTTTCCTAGACATTAGTATTTCACAAAACTTTAAGAGGAAAAATATATAAAAAGAGAAAATAGTCTTTTATAACTAAAGTGTCGATTGTTTTATTTGCTCATTGGTACTTTTAACATACATTTGAAATTATTTTAATTGTATTTTAGGTCGCCCAGGGCTTCCCGGAGAACGTAAGTGTATTTTTCAAAAAAGTGATTTCTTTTTACATAATGAACTACGGTTTTTTCAGGTGGTATTCCTGGTTTTAATGGCGCACCGGGTAATCCTGGATTACCAGGAATGAAAGGATTTCCAGGTATGATACTGACCTGCTCTTAACTCATTGTACTTCTCATTTGAATTCAATCTTAATCTGTTTCTATCTCATAGGGGATAGTGGTGAACCGGGTCTCAGTGGTGGATATAGTGCTCCTGGCTTGAAAGGTCAATCAGGTATAATTGAGTGATTAATAAATATAGTCCGATCAAATCTTGAAAATATAAATTTTCTATTTGAAGGTGATGTTGGAGAAGTTGGACTTCCCGGAGCCAAAGGCATGCCGGGCGATTTTGGACAATGTAAGTATTACAAAATCTAACCTATGTTAATGAAAAATACATAAATCTATTCTAAAATAAGGTATAAGATCTATTTATCAATTTGAACGTTAATTTTCTCTGATGTAAAATCAGATTTTTAGAACTGATCCTCTATAAGAATATTTTTTTGTTTTAGATGGTCCAAAAGGATTTCCTGGAGAAGTTGGGTAAGCTGCACACAAATTTCGCTAAAAAATAGATAATTGTTATTAGTATTCTTTGTGATTTAGATATCCAGGTCTTCCAGGCACGCCGGGACTTCAAGGAAGAGATGGTAAATATAATTAGTTTCTCTTGTTAACTCTATTATCAACTGAGTTTTCTGTTCAATGTTTTCTTGATTAAAGAGAAGACTCAAAATCTATCTCATTTTCTAATACTTTACTAGGACGACCTGGCATGGATGGCCTCAAAGGATTACCTGGAGATGCATTCAAAGGAATAAACGGTAAGATATACATCATTATTTTTAGTTATTTTGATCAACTCACATTAGAAAAGTGTAAATGTATTTATTTAGTAAAGAAAAATTTAAAGAATAATGTGTTTTCTTTTTAGGAATCCGTGGTGATCGTGGCGCTCCTGGTATTCCTGGCTCTCCCGGACCGGTTGGCCCTCGCGGACAGGTAAGTGTTACAAACGTTTATTTTTCCTAGATTCCAGAATTTCACTCAATTCTTGTATGACTTTTAGCCTGGCTTAAATGGGGCACCGGGATTACGTGGTCAACCGGGAATTATTGGTTTTCCAGGTAACGCAATTCACACCATATTCAAATATAACAAAGTTCAAACCCTACGAAAATCTTAATTTCTCGCTTTTTCTTTCAGGTTTACCCGGTTCATCTGGCGCACCAGGATTTCCGGGATTAAAAGGAACGATTGGCTCAAGCGGTAAGGATCTATAACATATCAGTTTTACCTAAGAGAAAGTGAAATGAGCTACTTCTAAGCACAATCGTATTATCATTTTGAGCATGTACTACTTGTTTCAGACATTACTCTATAGAATATACCTCGACTGAGACTCAAACTTAAAAAGTTTTTACCTATTTAGTTGTTAAAAAATTACATATGATGATTAAGTGAAAATGTTAGTTTATCCATTTTTAAACTTTAGGTTTTCCTGGAGCCCCTGGACAACCTGGAGAACGAGTAAGTTGTCTGAAATTAGACTGTTTTCCGCGTTGAACTAATAGATTTAATAATTTAGGGTGGGGTAGGAAGAAGCGGTCTTCCAGGTCTACCCGGTCTTCAAGGACTAAGAGGAGATAACGGACGAGCTGGCAGAGCAACAGAATCAGGTAAAATTTATTGTATTTAACACAGGGATCGCAGTTTTTAAAACTTGATAATGTTGTAAGAATGAAATCAAAAGAGTAAAACACTTTCTTCTCTTTTAAATAAATCCTCTGGTAACATTTCATTTTTCTGCCCTTTAACTCAACGAGAATAAAAATTTTCAAATTAAATGTTATATCAACGTGCTTTTAATAAATATACTAATATAAATTCAAAAATTATTTAGGACCAAAAGGGCAGCCCGGTGACGCTGGAGCGCCAGGCTTTCCAGGAGCAGTTGGTCTTCCTGGTGATCTTGGTAAGAACTCATTAGAAAACACATTCGTAATAATAAAAACAAAATTATATTTTACATTTCAGGTCTTCCGGTAAGCATTATTGAAGAAAAAACAATGTATTTTTAATCAACAGCCGCAGCACTATATAGCCTTCAAACATTTTAGGGTTTTCCAGGACCAGTTGGACCAAGCGGTAGACCAGGTAAAGAATCATTTTAATTTTAAAAACAGCTGAAAAGATAGCCGAAACTATGACGAGAAGGACGCTTTACTTGATTGTAAATCTTAGGAGCAATCACAAACTGAAATGTATTCTAATTTAAAAATATATTACTAGATTAGAGAAAGATCTTTCACATTTTTTGTATCACTCACTTGTCCATTGTATGCCAATAATTAAATTCGTGTCAGGAGTACTTTTCTTGTTGACCACATTTAATATTAACTATATTCATATTTGGTTTCAGGCAGCAACGGTTTACCGGGACTTCTTGGTGAAAAAGGCAACAGTGGTTTTAGTGGTGCCCCAGGTCGACCAGGTAAATAACTTGTTCTCTTCGTACCAGTATCATTGAAAACATTGGCTAATGCAAACACAAGCATAATAAAAAGATCACATATAACTATCATAGTGAATGTATTTGAGCTAAGTATTAGGGTTAAATACATTCCCTAGAGTAATCATTTCATGATTTTATCTTCTATGTAAATGTTTTCTGAGGACAACTTGAAGAACCGATTATGTCAATAGCATTGTCCATATGAAGTTGCAACGCTGAATATTATTATGACTTTTAGATCATGACGGTTTTTTTCTATATATTGCAGGACTACCGGGCTTGCAAGGAGCCAAAGGAACAAGAGGATACAGTGGTATTCCTGGTGTGAAGGGTATCCCAGGAGACAGTGGTATGTACATTATACTCATAATAAGAAACGTTTAGAACGTGCAGATGTCTTAAAACATTATAACTGATCAAGAAAACAGATTCAAATTTATTCGACTATTTTCTTAACACCGTACGATATTAAACATATTAATATTCATTTCTGAGTGTTTTTTCTAGGTGGCCGTAGTTTACCAGGCTTAAGAGGAGAACCGGGACGCGATGGAACTCCAGGAAGACCAGGTCTTAGGTTCGTATGGTCGTATTTTATCTTGCATTGAAAGGACGTGGTATGTTGCAGAAATCTTAGATTTTTAACGTTTTATAACAGAGAGACTACTGGTTTCGTACCGAAAGATTACATTTTTTTTCAATCAACTCTTTTACCGTGTGTTCCGTCACGATCATCATTTTTTTAATTTTTTAGAGGGCCTCCCGGAGAACCTGGTCCAATGGGTCTGAAGGGCAGAGACGGTAAGAATAAAAAAAGGGCATATTCAAAATGTGTTATTTTAATGTACATATATTTTCTGTTTTTGATTTTAAGGACAAGGTGTTCGAGGCGGAAGAGGATTGCCAGGTGATCGAGGCCAGCCAGGATTACCAGGTAATTCTCAGCATGATATTTCACATCAGAAGAACAATTTCTTAATTTTCATTATTGATATCACTAATGATCAACTTCTTTTCAGGTCGTCCTGGCGCACCCGGATTCCCAGGAAGAGACGGAACCATAGGAACTAGTGCACGAGCAGGTATGAATTTAAACTATAATGAATCTGTTCTTTTTACACTTCTATATGATGAAATTATGAAAATGATAGCTGTTCTCTGCAAAGTCAAATAAAAGCTGTTTTATCTCTGTACTGCAAATAAAGAAGGAAACGTTGGTGTTTTATGACCTTCTCTAGCAGACTAGCGTTAAAATTCAAATTAGGCTTAAATTTTTTGAAATTTCCAAAATTTTAAAAAAGTATATGCAAATCAAATACATTTCATAATGACAGATAATAATGTGCGTACGCTTTGAAAACAAAACATTCCAAATTATTTTTGTTCAAAATATGTTTTTGCTAGAATACGTTTTCCCTTCACATCAGATGCTAGAGAATTTTAACAACAAGAATTACTGATTTAAGGATTACCTGGACTTAATGGTCAAGATGGTATACCAGGTATACCAGGTGGTGCTGGCTTGAAAGGCATGCAGGTAATTATATTTTTAACGCTGTAAGAAGTCAGTTATTCTTTACATAATAACTGTGCGTCTAAATTATTTCTTGTAGGGATTGCCGGGACCACAAGGCAACAGGGGTCTCTCAGGAAGAGCAGGTTTCCCTGGAGATAACGGTAAGTTTTAGAATAGTTCTGAAAAATGAATTAAATTAAATATCAAGTTATGCTCAGAAACAATTTAAACTCACAAATTTATTTATGGTTTTAGGTTTTCCTGGACCAGTTGGATATAAAGGACAGCCAGGTGATGCAGGTAATGAAACATAGTTTGGATTTTTATTAGAATTATTCTCACTAATCAAACCGATTTTCATTTAGGATTACCGGGTATGGATGGAAGAAATGGACTTCCTGGTCTAAAGGGAGAAGAAACACGAATCCAGGTAGGAATTATTTTTAAAAGTATTTCATAACGAAACTTTCCTATCCTATTTTTTGTTTTGTTTGTATAGGCGCTAAGAGTGCCTGGCATACGTGGAGAACCAGGTCAACCGGGGCCCACAGGTAGGATTCATCGATCAAATCTACGAGTTTACTGAAAGAGTTGCTGAAAACAGTTAATCACAAGCTCAATAAATTTTAGGTACTCCCGGTCGTCAGGGTAGTCCGGGTCAAAGTGGACCAAAAGGAAGTTTTGGCTTAGTGGGTGCTCCAGGAATTCCAGGTTAGTAACCATACTGTGATCATCAGTAATGCTGAAATTAGTCTGTCATTTAAGCCTCATAGACTTTCGTTAGGTATATATTAATTTTCACTCTTTTTTCTAGGCAGTCCCGGCGGTCCAGGGCCAAAAGGACCATTGGGGGATGTCGGACTACAAGGAGCGTAAGTCTTGAACATAATAGATGAGAATAGTGATACTAATTGTATTTAAAATATTTTTAGCGCTGGATTTCATGGATTGCCTGGTTCACCTGGTAAGAATCATCTATTTGATATTTAAGAACAAGTTCGATAGTTGATTTCTTTGTTTCTTAAGGTGTTATGGGTGTACAAGGTGCTCCTGGAGAAAGTGAAGGATCCTTTGTCTTTGTAAGGTATGATTGGCAATATATCTTTGTGATTTAAAATGAACTTTTAATTACAAATATTTGAAAATTTAATTACTAGACATAGTCAAAGTACAACGACACCTACTTGTCCATTGGCCACTCAAACAATGCACGATGGGTTTTCATTTATGGGCATTCAAGGTGATACATATGCAGCTCATCAAGATTTAGGTAAGTAAACTATCATTTATTTTCAATGTCAATAATTATTTCAATAATTCAATAATTATTCATTTGTGTGTTTATATAATTCAAGGTGGTCCGGGTAGTTGTTTAACACGATTTAGTGCCATGCCATTTTTATTTTGTGATATCCATAACACATGTCATTATGCATCGAGAAATGATTATTCTTATTGGCTAGCAACAAATGAACCAATGAAAAATTCCATGTCCACATTCGAGCCAAAAGAAATAAGAAGTTATATTAGTCGATGTGTTGTCTGTGAATCACCATCACCAGTTAGTTTTACCATTTATCTTGTAAAAATTGTTTATATATTTTTATTTTATTCTTTAGGTATTCGCCATTCATAGTCAGTCTCAACGTCCTCCAACATGTCCTGATGGTTATGACCAATTGTGGACTGGCTATAGTTTTGTGTTTACATCTGCTGATGGTGGTCGTGGTGATCAACAGAGTTTACAATCACCAGGTTCATGTTTAGAAAGTTATTTAGATCGTCCATATTTCCATTGTAAAGATCATTCGCATTGTAATTTTTATCCAAATATGCTGTCATTTTATTTGGCGGCATTAGATGAATATTCTGGTTTTGAAAAACCAAAATTGTTAACATTAAAAGCCGGACAACAACGTCAACATATTAGTCGTTGCGCCGTATGTCATGCTAATCTATTTAAACAAACAACCAGAGGTCCAAGTGTATTTTTTGCTCAAGTGAAAAAACATTAAAAATTTTAATTGATTAAAACGGATTGGTAACATATACTTTTCAAACAGTCAACGTGTAAGATTATGTTATTTTTCGTTTCTGGTCTTTTATTTGTTATATTTTTTTTTTGTCCGTTTCGTACGATGACATTGTTACTTTAAACTTATCTGAAAAGAACAGATCCTTGGGCTGTAAGAGAAAAAATAGACTTTTTGAAAAATATTCGTCTAAGACATCTAATATAAATAGTCCGGTGCACGATACATAAACAGAAAAAAAATATTGTCAGAAGTAAACTAACTAGATAATAAAATGGCAGATGAGCTATTCGAGAACACTATGACTAGGTAAGAATCTAAAGTAAAAACCGTGTCATTTAATTTTCATTTTACGTATGTTCGTTTTGTAAAGCTTCTTTTTCTAACAATTGATAAGTTATATTTTTTCATTTTTGTTTTCTACGAGTTTATTCTCGCTCTCTTCTTCTCTTTTTTTTTTTATTCTATTTCATAAGACAATTGGAAAATTTAACGTTGCTGAAAATAAGTGTTTTGATCTAAAATGTGTGTGTGTGTGTGTGTATATGTTGTTAAATCTTTTTCTCGCTAATGTCTAAACAAGAAAATGACTATTTTTCATAATTGAACTATGTTTTTCTTTTCTTTATGTAGTAGTGGCAGTATATATGCATGTATGAAAATGTATCTAGTCAATTAAAATAACAACAGTCAAAAAAAGAAAGGCGTTTGGCTAACGCCTTATAGGTATTTTAGGTCTGCTCTTTCTCGCCACGAAGTTCGTTGCAAGCAAATTGACGATAGATATTTCTGACGTCTCAAAATCCTATTAAAAAATGGCTCAAATCTGCTATTTTTCGCCAGCTGAATTAAAGAAAAAGATTTTAACTCAACTTTCGCTTCTGCATCTGGTACAGTAGTCATTTTCCATTAAAATAAAGAAAATCCGAATCCAAAATGTGCTGCTATTTTGACGTAGTTATGCCTCTTTTCCCAGGAGCTCCAACGAAAAAATCGAAAAAATACGATTTTTGAGCTTAGACAGTTGGTCCTTTTGAACGTGTTGAGCATTCTTGTTTTCATATTTTTGCTTCGTTTTGTACAGAAAAACGTTTGATACAAACCTTGGAGAGAATTCAACGAGGTGTCTTTTTAGTCTAATCTCAACTCTCTACGATCAAAGCTGAGGGAGATATTTACGAAATACAAAGTGTGCCATTATTTCTGACACATCCGTTAATCATACAATAATTACTAGTTCAATAATAGATTTGTTTAGTATTATTATTGTTGTTAGTTCTTATTTCTTACACAGTAACTATACATCTTTCTTGTTATTGTTTCTTTTTTTTTCTTGATAGTGTCATTTTGTTATACAAGTGTACTTTGACGAGTTTTTTTTGATATATCCACAAAGATTTGAAAGAAGAAAAAAAGGCGAGCTCATGTTTAAAGCACCGCAACACTTGTGTCTCACATTATATATTTTATAAAAATTTACAACGACATTTTTTAAATACATTATAAACTATTTTAAATATTCTCGCTGAGAACAAAGAATGAAAAAAAAAGAAAGAGAGAGAGAAAGAGAGAAAACGATATGTCTTTTTATCAATTTCTTCTCTATTAAACTAATGCATAGAACTTTTTTAAACTTGAAATTAATTAGATTCGATCAATTATATGCATATGTATGAAATTTGAATGACTGTGGGCCTAGAAGGTTTATAAAATAGAGTGTCTTGTACTTTACATGAGTTTATGATGAAAAATTGCGAAGTTATCTTCAATCAGTTATTGATTTTTACCACACTACAAAACAAAGTTATTAATTTCTAAGAGTAAAACATATTGAGTAAATAGATGTGTAAGATCTATAGCGTAAATTTTCTCCAATAAATCATTATCCTTTTCTGTTAATTATGGCAAATTTATGGCGAAAGATAAGTATAACAAAAAAAATGACTGCAATTAGTCAATGACTATTTGCAACTAGTTTGACAAATGTAAGAATAGAAAAGGATAGTGAGTCGTATCGTTCGCTAATTCAAAATGACAGACAATACCGATATTCAGATCGTTTATCGTTGGTTGATGGTAAGTCTGACTATTTTTGATTTGTTTCATCAATGTAACCAAGTCACCAATATAGTCGAGAAAAACATTTTATGTAATTGCTAGTTTTAGTTAAATGTTACTGTATCTTTCAATTAGTTCTTGTTTCAAGAACTTTTTATTAGATACAAAACATTGCAAATAACACAAAATTCTTCAGTTAAAAAATAAAAGAACAAATCACTTTTTAGTTTCAAAAGTACTCAGTGTCTTCCATTTCTTTTTTCAACAATATAATTTCTTTTAAAGAATATCATATTGTGAATCAAGTAACATTAAAACAAAAAAAAAGATTGAACTTCCTACACTATTGAAAAAAATAAGTAATTAAAATGATTCTCATAAAAGAATTTTTGTTGAAACACGTACTATTTTCTCTCGTCTAAGAGTAACTACCAACAACTTTTAGATGAAGAAAAGACATGTTTAATTTAATGGTGATTCACTACACTATTCCAATTTTCACTAGCAAATAAGTTGGTCAAACTTCTATAGACACATTATTAGTGACATGAAAGTAGTAGTATTATTATCGTATTTGTCTATTAAAGTGAAAATATACCAATATTAATTATAAATGAACTTGATTATTTCTGTTTTATGAGGAAACACATGTAAATATAATATATATATATATATATATATGAATGGGACAAAAAGAAAATAATTTCCTTCTTTATTACATCTAATCAAAAATGATTGCTTTAAAATAAACAAATACACATATACCGAGTAAAAGAGAAGAAAAGAAAACAAATTTTTTTTCACATTCTTCTTGAAATACTTGTTTTTATTCGATTTCACTGTATTATTATTCTATTCTACACGTATATAAACGATAAACGACGACATTGCCTTTTTTCATTTCTTCTCCAACAATCTACCATTTGCCTTTTTGTTTCTACTACTGTTGACATATAAATCTTTTATTGTTCAATTTGACTTCTCTATGTATCATTACGTAAGTCACTATTCTTTAGATTGTTCAATTATATAGTGGACTATCGACATCAAAAATATATAATCCAATGCAATACACATATTCAACATACTATCAGTGTCATATGTACAATTGTTGTTCATAACTTGCTTAGAAATATGAATTTATGTAATTAATGACTATTTTAGAAGAAATTGGTCACTTTGCATTTTGATTATACCTTTTTTCTTTATATTTCTAAGAGCAGTCGATCTTATTTTCAAAAAGATACGCTCTAAATTTTCTACTAAAAGTCTGATGAGGTTTAATACAAAATGCAAAATGAGAAAATTTTATATAATACTGAAACGATTCAAAAAATGGACCACTGTGAAACGTACTTGTCATTAATTAAAAATGTTTTTTAATGCTTAAACAGGTATCGAAGATGCTTCAGACTAAGTTTACAGTCAAGTGTCTGTATTTTGTCCAAATCTCGTTTTACGGTACACATGGCAGATACCATTCTCCTGTTACTATTTGCCACACATTGAAACTGACGTTCTTTTTTTTCTCTACGTAATCTGTTGGATCCGATAATGGTAGCGCTGTGCATTCTGCAACGGCATGCTCTGCAAAGGTATACAATGCTAAATAGAATGATTGATAAGATTTTTGCGTACATCAACAGGCAATGCCGGCTTCATCTCATTGAATGAAATAAGAGTAAAAAAATCAGCTTCATTTTTGTCTATTTTGAATCTTCTTAGTATAGTATTCGTATAATTTTGTAGTTTTACAGTTTGCATTGAACCATTCATTATACTTTTTTTTAATGAATTGTGATACGTATCTTTTAAAAAACAAGACTGACTTCTCGAGGAAATGAAAAAAAATTTATTATAGTTAAAATACAAAGTGACCACTTTTCTCTAAGGTTCTCATTTTAGTTATGCTTTAGGTATAGAAAAAAAAAAATTGAATTCAGTTTCGATGAGCACAATTAGTAGACTTATTTTTACTGTGATAAAAAAGTTTCTTATTCAAAATATACAATAGAATTGATTTTTCTACTAATAAATCTTTCATGTCAACTTTTAGAATGTCCGTATTATCAGCACCGAAGTCAACCACATTTTCTCATTCTGCTAGAACATTTCAACAATTACCGTCTGAAAAACGAACACCATTAACAGTGTCGATACCAAAATGTTTTAATGTTACATTTGCTATACAACATGGTTATTTTCGATGTGTAAGATATTTATTAGAATTAGGATATGATCCAAATGAACGAGATAGTAATCTTCGAACAACATTAATTCTATGTGCTTACATTGAAAATGCTAAATGGCGTTTGTCATTAGCTCAAAATTTACTAGAGAAAGGTGCCCGAATTGCATTAGATGATCATGCAAGACGAAACAGGTAGTTTTGTCTCATCAATGACTAAATTGTAGTATGGAAGAAAAGGAACATATATATTTTTTTAGTTTGCATCATGCATGTGCATTACAACGAGAAGAATTGGTCAAACTATATTTAACATGTTTAGATTTTAATATTGAAGCAAAAGATTGTGAAGGATGTACATGTCTACATTATGCGGCAATTACAGGCAATTGTCAAATAGCTGAGATGTTAGTTGACGCTGCCGAAAGAAAAGGAATAAAATTAGATCAATATATAAATAAAGAAGGTTGTTCAGCCGCTGTACTAGCACTAAAATATGGACATATTGATTGTGCTAATACTATTACACATCGTGATTCAGATGAATTTTTTGTTGTTCCACGTCCATTAAGTATTTTTGAATTGCCCGTACAAAATGATAAAAAAGATTCAAAAACAATAAATTCATCTAAACAACGACGAAAATCTAATATACATCCGACAACTTTGTCTTTTGGATTATTAAAAATAATCTTTAATGATTTTGATACTAATTATTCAACACGTTTACATGATATGGTAGAAGAAAATCGTTTAGCTGATAACAATCGTCAAAAGAAAAAATTAATTAAAAATCAACTTCGTCATGATTCAAATACAATTACATTAGATAGTAAAGGATATACAACTGAATTTCTTAGACTAAAAACATCATCATGTAAATCAATTAATGAACATGCTAGCACTGAAGCGCTTGTTAATCAAGAACGAAAAACAAATTCATGTGAAGATGATCAACAACCACAACAATCAAATGGTGAACGTTTAAGTCCACGTCTTCAATTGATGTTACAACAACATCCTCATCTAGGAAGAAAATCAAATATAAATGAAGATGAAACAATATCGAGCGCCATTAGTATGATACTACAGGACAAAAATGAACCATTAAATAATTCAAAAACTAACAATAGACCAAAAACAGCAAAAATAGATGTTCTAGTAACAAAAGTAGAGTTGCAAAAACAACCATCAGCGAAGAAGGTGGAAACATCTTCGGATAATTATTTGTAAGTAGACTTTTCGTCCAAATCAATTATGTGATTATTTCAAACCACTTAGAATTGAAACTATACCTACATGATCCTTCGATATGTTTTTTGTTTCAAACATCTATTATTGATAATTTTAGGTCTGAGCTAATTCCTGCTGGAACAGCAATAAGTATGTATCACCGATTTCACTATAATAGAATTGCTATATCTTTTGAATAGAATTTGAATATAATTGAAATGAATAGAATTTGCTATATCTTTTTCTTGTCTAATTTCACAATCACTAGGTAGTTTTCAAACAATCAATAGTGGAAAAATGTTGGGGAATAAGCATAATAATTCTCAAGCAAGTGTAAATACGTTCAAACCTTTTTCAACTACGGAAACGACGGATTTTGCTGAATTGCAGCCATCATCAAATTCATTCGTTACAACATCAATGAAAAGTATGTTTTCCGAACAGCGTTCCCAAAAACCATCATCAATAGTCCAAATTAAAAATCTAGATCAACCATCGCGATTAAATTCAGCAAAACCACTACCGATTTCCATTCAAGAAAAGCATACGATGAGAATACCTTCATCTCTAAAACGACGATCACCATCGAATTATGATAAATCAAAATCACCAACATCAAACAATATTATATTACAGATGGCACAACAAGACAGAACGCATAAATATACTGAACGTGTTCGATCGGCGCCATTAGTGGCACATAAACAGATACCTTTTCATAACAACCTCTCGTCAGATAAAACCTATTCTCAAATGCTCTACGCTGGACGACCTATTTCGGCCGTATTACATACAAGTGCAACGAGAACACCAACACCATTGGATAATTGTACAATACGTGAAGCAAAACCGAATACACTCTACAATAATCCCGAAGAATTATTCGGTTTAAATCCAAAAGATTTGTTTGGCACACATATTCAACCAGTTATTGTCTCTAAAACCACACCAAAAGATTCAGATAGCGAAAGAAATCGAATGAAAAGAAACTTTCATAAACAACAGCATCTCTGGAAACAAGATATTGACAAAATAATCGATTTGTACAACATTCATCACAGTTCAACTTACCGACCGACCGTTCTATTTGTACCTAAACCGACAGCAGATAATGAACCAAAATCAGGTTTGTTATCAACTAGACGTAATAGTATCATGGGAAGCACAACAAAAAAACTATTACAACGAAATCCACCACGTTCAAAAATTAGTACTCTAGCACAGTTGAATTTGACACGTAGAAGTTCTGTTGTTAATAGACCACCAACAATTAAAGTCGTTAAAGCGTGAGTCTTCTGAACACGTATGTGGAAGAATGTACAAATTTTTTTTCTTAAAAATATTATAGTTTGTCATTAAGGTGAATCGTTTACCGATAGTTGGCTACACGCTGTTTGTTCAGTTTTAAGTCGTAATTTATAGAAAAACAAACAAAGCTTACTTTTCCAATTCATGATATTGACTTAAGAGTCATTTCAGATAACGTACGACCAAAAGTGCTTAATCATCTGTGCTAGAATTCTTGCTAGATAGAGTACTTCTCTTTAGAGATGATAACGAAATGACAACTCCTACAACTATCTCTGTTCGAATACAGCAGTCAAAACAGAAATTCGATGAACTTCGGAGGTCAGTCTAATTAAAGAAAGCCAAATATGAGACTTTCAATCATATTTTCCGACATAGTATCTGTAAAAGTATCTCTCGCAAAACTTTCAAGACCATAAGTGGTGTTGTTGCTGAGAATACTACAACATTCGAATGCGCATTCTAATGTGTTATCATGGATTTTTTCTTCTTCTTCTTTCGGTCTTTTTGGTTATTTTGAATTTTTCAAATTTCTTCTTTCGTTCTGCATGGATTTTTATATATATACACTACTTCTTTTCTTTTTGTCATTCATTCTTGAAATGATCTAAATTTGGATCGAAAGCTCGAGTGTTTAAATAAATTCAGAAGAATTTTATTAAAATGTTTTTCATAGCAATATTATACTTTATATTTAGAACTTTAATACTGACTTCCATCGTGTTAAAATAAGTCACAATAATCATCAATAGCACTATTTTTAGCTCTATTTTCAAATGATACTTTTACAGATGCTTTGTCTGAAAACATGATCGAAAGTCTCAAGTTTGGCTTTGTTTAATTAGACTGACTGTAAAGTTGATCAAATTCTGATTTCACTACTGTATCCGAATAGAGGTAACGCCATTTTATAGTACATAATAAAGGCTGAAAGGGATTCGATTCAAGTTTTTACATATTTATTTAAGATAAAAAAATTTTTTTGAACCTAGAAATCATGATAAAACCCAACGGTAAAGCAGTAAGAAGAAGATACGATAGGATGAAGTAAACACAGCAGTTCTTTACTTCATCCTATGAGGAGTCATGAAGTTAAAACGTGAAATCGACAATAACATTATTTTCTTTGGATGTTTTTTCTGTTTTGTTTTAGTAGATGTGTATAAGAGATAAAATTAATGTCACATAAATCATTTTCATACAATAACATCCTTATTTTCTTGAAAACAGTATTTTACTGTGGATATGATACATGCGACAAATAAGGATGTTGTATAACAAGTAGAAAATTTTTTATGCAATCGATCCTAAAGCGATCCGATCTGAGAGTTTTTCGGATAAACTTGATCCAAGAATTTTGTAATTTATCAATTCAAAAATTCCAAAAAAACTCAGTGAACTGTATGTTACCTGAAATGACTTTTAAGCAAAGAACATTCACTATAATTACTTGCCTTAAATTGAACAGATGTTTGTCCTTAATTTTGAATAGTGGCGTCACAAGGCTTTTGAAGCAAGGGATTGACACCTGATTTGGAGTCAGGACTTAGGAAATCTGAATAAAAATTAAACAGAAGAGGCACTTCTTAGTCGAAGTGCTCCCGATTTTAAGGTATACTAGAGCTAGAATGAGCTTTTTTCTGAAGCACACACATGAAGTGACGATGGAAAGAATAAATAGAACGCAAAAGAAAGAAATACTTTTTAAAGTGTTACCTTCTTCAGGAAGTGAATATCGTTTATCTAGAGCAGCGTTTCCCAAATGGGGTTTCATGGAACCAAAGGTTCCGCCAGAAAAAAATAAGAAGATAAAAATTAATTTCACCACGTAAAAAAAATTACGTAGTCTTAAATAATTTTTGTCAAATATTATGTCAAAATACTACTGGGGTTTCACAAAGTTTTAAATTTTATGAAAAGGTTCCATGGCTAAAATAAATTGGGAAACGCTGATCTAGAGAATAGCTAAAGAAACAGATTAAGAACGGTCTGAGGCAGTGAGCTATTGAATATATGCTGATAGAAAATTTAGAGTAACATCAAGATATGAAATGAAATTCAAAGAACAGACAATCAACTAATCTGACAAATAGTATTATCTGTGTATTTGAATAAAATATATTTCTTTTTTGCTCTTCTGTTTTCTATCAGTGCTTTGATAACTTTGGACAAGCAAACAGCAAATATCTACAAATATTCTTTTTCTCTTTAATTTCTGTGTTATGGTATGATAATAAAGGTAATTGATAAACATTTACAAAGGTAGTAGGTTTATGGCAATAACAAGTAAAAAAGAATGAAAAGAAAAGGTTTTCTAGTAGAGAAACAGGCGTTATAAAATAAATGATGAACAGGCAAACACTGAACATTCCTCATGCTGGTAAGTAACAATTATTTTTCTGAACAAACAAGTGAAATCAATGGAATAGTTGTACATCTTTATTAGGCGACATCGGAACATCTAATAGCGCCATGTTGCGGTCTAGTGATGGTGTAGTCACTCCCTCAGGTGGACGTTTACCATCCATCGATCGTGGTATCTATGAATCGCATGTATTTGAACACAATCATACTTCTACTCCACATATGTATCAACCCAACGATCAGGAGTGTGTTCGTTTAGCTGGTAAAGACCGAAATCGTCAATTTCGTTATTTTTATACATCACATCCATCGGCAGTTCGAATCTATATACGTTATCGTGATTCTACTTCGACTAGCGAAACAGTACCATACCAAAGAAGGCTATCACAATTTTCTGATAGAACAATTAAACCACAACTTCATCATTTATCTGTTAGTGAAAAATATAAAGACGAAGTTAGAAAAATGTATTATTATAAAGATCTGAAATGTTTTCTTCCATCAACATCATACGAATTCAATGGTATCAAAATTGTTGGCCACAAAATCGACTAATATAAAACATAATTTATTGAAAAATTGACTTTATTATTACAACTAATATTCATTTTTTATAAGCGATTTTTTAAAAATTAAATGAAGATTTTGATCGTTCATTTCTCTGTTTCCAATTACATGTGTTCTCCTGTTGACCATTGTTTGTTTTTCGTACCGTTGTTATAAATCTGTCAATATTTTCGGGATAGTGACATGTTTTTTTCATAATTTCCATATGTTTTTTCCAATCTCTATCTTGTTCACGTTTATTTGTTATATGGGCTTGAGTATTCATTAGACGTTTTGAGAGTAATAAATTTTCATATTCAATTTTTTGATGATCAAATCGACGTTGTTGTAAACGTTTTGACATAAAAGTATCTAATTGTTTTTGATATTTGAGATTATGATCATCAACTAGTGTCCGACAACTTGCTTTGAGTAAACGTTCGAATATTTGACGATTTTGCTGTTCAATGTCATTATAATATGATTTTCGTGTTGCTGCGCTTCTCAGACGATTTCGTTCAAGTTCTACCATATGACGATCAGATAAACATGTCATTGACGATAATAGACGAGATGTGTGTGCCGAGAAGGGAGAAGAAGAGATCGTAGAGGACTTGGACGGTTTTATGTTATGTTGAGAACGTAAACGATTTAAATCAGCTAAATATTTTATATATTCTTGTTCGTGTATCTCACGTTGTTGACGATCATTACGTTTATAAATCAATGGATCATGTATAGCAAACGGCATATTGTCAGTGTACTAACAGAGCGCGATTGTGTTTACAAAGAAAAACATTTTAAATATAATTTGCAAATAGAGATCATAGTATATAATATCTGTCAACGGCAAGATTTTTCTCTCTCTAAACTTTGTTGCTTAAGATTCTTAAAATATTTTTTTCTCGATCTAGGAACTATTCAAACTTCAACAGTTTAAAGAAGGAAAAGAAGCAGTTGAACTTTTCATAACGTAAAATTTTCTTACCGTTTAATACAGGCATAAAAATTCTGATCGTTCTCACAAAGAGTAAAATTTAAAATCAACGAAGATGTGTTCTGTTGTGTGTATAAATCCTATTAAGATGTAGTTAGAAACAACAGAATAGAAAATTCTTTTATAAAAACTCTCGTTCATCGGCTTTAATGAATATTAATTCAAAAATATACATTTTTTTCTTCCGGAGAATAAATTAGTATGAGAAAAATCGAAACATGCGATAAAATGTTTGACATAAATCAATGTTACCTGACATGTAATTAATGAAGATGACATTTTTAAAATCTCTAAACTTTTTCTATTACTAGTTTGTGATGAGAAGATGAAAAAGTCTTAGAAAATCAATAATTAATTCGAACGAAAAGAATTTGAATGATTGAAGACTGAAAATAATTTTACATTATTTTCATCAAAACTCACATTATCTAAATTAGATCTTAAAATAGCTACTATTCCTTCAATTTTTGGTAGCTGATTCAAATAATGTTACTAACCTACATCACACAAAAACATATAAGTACGTCAATCAATAATATCGGCACGATCAATTTCGTGCGATAAAACTTGATTAGGTCTGAATATGGCAGGTTGTCAATTAAACTCTCGTGAATATCAAGTGTTTTACATTTTTATTGTAAAATAAGACAAAAAATACAAAATAGGAAATAAAATTAGAATATACTCTAAAAAAAATGTGTTTGTCGTGTTTTCAAAGAACTAGTTGAAGATCTCATTTAAGTTCTTTGAAATATGAAGAACTTGATTTTTATTTTTCAAAAAAAAAATGATTTTTTCATTCATTTCAGTTTTTAGGCTCATTTTAGTCCTTCAGAAATTTTGTTTTTCAAGGTTTGTAAAACACAATATTTCTATTAAGTTCTTTAAAGATCTCGAAGTTTAAAAAGAAAAAGAAAATCACATATGTCGGTTATCGCTTTTGTTTTGCAATTCCTGATACATATATAAGAGACATGATTTTTTTCTTACAAAAACTTAAACTTATTCTTACAAATATCTCTTTATATGACAACAACGTGCACACTTCGAGAATATATTTGTTTTTGACAAAAGAGTTCTAAAATTCGACTCGAACCCTACGAGTCGAGTACATACGGTGTCTGAAACCTGATTCGATCTGGATGGAATCAGATTCCAAATGTCTACTTCGGCAGCTGATCTCAGGTATAGTATTGAAAGTTGGCTGGCGACAAGAAAGGAATAAGATTCAGTTTTTGGAAAAAGCGATGAACAGAAATGTGTTTTTCCACCTGATATTTTCTGGAAAACAAATGTCCCAAATAGAGATCCGAAAAAATGAAAAACTCAATTTTTATTCTTCCGAGAAATAAAAAAATCAGTTTTGCAAATTTTCAGAAAACTCACATCAAATCCCTATTTGGGGATGAAAACTCAAATGAAAAACACAGTTTCAGTTTTCTGAAGGTGATTTTTAGAGTGTACAGTGGAGTTTAGTTTCTTCAAATTTTTGCAATAACTTTTTAATCTTCAGAACTTCCGAAATTTATACTCAACTATCATTGATTAATGATTTAGCTTTTAAAAAATTATAATTTACTAGTCTCACTCAACTTCTATGAAATTTAAATGTCCTCGGGGCACCAAAGCAGACATGTTGTGTTCACCGATTCAATTCGAAATACAGTGGAAAACAATTGTTCACCATAAAACAGCAGTGAACAGTAGATTTTCTAGAGAAGAAGGATCAATAGGTGATTATTAGTCTATTAGTTATATATGCTGATATTGGTATGTACATTTTTTCATAATACGCAATACTAATGTGTGATCGGTAAGACGCAATAATTCTCATGTCATCACATTTTCGCAACGTCTTATGAGGTCAACAAAGAAATGATTTGTTTCATGTATATGTGGCATAGTTCTAATTTAATTTACAAAAGACATGAAAACAGTATGATCTGCTAATATTTGCGACAACATAAAAGTATCAGACAGTGAGGATATACGATTTTTACATATATCTATAGATTCTAAGCTATAGCTTAGGTTTTTTTCCGCAATAGAAAGATTCTTAGTTCGATTAAGATGTTATTGCACTTTGCCAGTGTCTGTTAAAGCATACAAAACTAACCAAACTAGACAGCTAGATGAAACAGATTCTGTCTTCCTTTTACGCATTGAAATTTTCTCAACTTTTTGTTTTTTTAGAGCGTTTAAGATGCTAAATGAAAAACAAGTTTTTCTCACCGTACCTCGACATTCTGCGCAAGAATCTGTGTGAATGGCAATTTCTTATAAAGAAAAAAGAGACAATCGGTTTCCTTTTGCTTTGGTCATGCGTCTCTACTATCAGGTGTAAAGATCAACGTTTAGAAAAGTAACATATATTCTTCACTATAGAGTACTTCAGGGTAATTAGAGACACTCTTTAAAATTTCCATCCTTTTTCTGCTATTTCTCGGCCGTTTTTGGTCGAAAAAACTTGCTATTGGGCATGGTGGTAGAGCGAACATTTTTCTACACACTCATGTAAAAATCTTTTGAAAATCTCCGGCTAATTTTGAGCCAGATCCCAAATGCGAAGAGCTCCATCAAAGTGTCTCTAATTACCCTGTACGGGATAATTAGAGACACTTCACTTGTACGCTTGGGGTAAATAGAGACACTCCATTCAAATACATGGAGTTTTAATGTACAATTGCTGGTGAATTAAGCAGTTAGTTCAAAAATATCTCATTTTATAGCCCGGATCTTCCCCTCTCTACCATATAGTGTTGAGCTCATTATCATTTAAACTCAGTAAGTTAATTAGCATCTAATCAGCAGCACTAGAAATTTTCTGTTTTCCTTTTTTATGCTTTGGGGTAAATAAAGACCCTCGTGTAATTTCTTCGGGGTAAATAGAGACACTCCACTGAAATACACGAAATTATCAGAGACAAACCGGAAGAAAATAAAATATTTTCAGCGGTTTCTGTGCACACAATGAACATTGTCGATTTTAAACACATTTTTTTTGTTAAAATTATCAAAATAATTAAGCTAGAGTCATTATTAACAGTCAAATTCCAATCACGTTGAACGTTTCATATACCTTATACAACTCTCTTCATATTACACCAAAAGTTTTTTATAGAACATACAGTTTAAGGCCAACATTTCCATTTTGCATTAGGCACGCACTGGTTATTTTATGAGGGCTCTCCCAGGCCAGCGGCTTTAAAATCGAAGAAAATCGGAAAGACAGACCCTCTATTAACTGGCCGGTTGTAACCGGTTCTACTTTAGAAAAAAAAGTTCATATTCATGGACAAACCATGCTAAGAAAGTCTGCAACATCTTATTTTGTAGACCAAACATTTGTGCACAAAACTGCCGATTCGAAAAAATTTTACAGGGTAATTAGAGACACTTTGATGGAACTCTTCGCATTTGGGATCTGGCTCAAAATTAGCCGAAGATTTTCAAAAGATTTTCACATGAGTGTGTAGAAAAATGTTCGCTCTACCACCATGCTCGATAGCAAGTTTTTCCGACCAAAAACGGCCGAGAAATAGCAGAAAAAGGATGGAAATTAATTTTCTTTTTTTTAATTTTGGTAGTACAACTCATGGTAAAATACTCTGTCTTATTTTGAATACTTTTGTATGTGACACTCGGCAATAAAAAATGTATGTAAACAAGGTAACCTTAAAGAAGACATAGATGCATATGTATAATAAGATTCATCAAACTTCCACTTTTGGACAAGTATTCAAGAGATGGTAAACGAACCATTTATGCTCTCGTATTCTTTCACACGGAAAGACACAAATTACCTGAAAATGAGCTTAGATAGATAAATTCTACTACACCCTTAAAAAAATGCGTTCTTCAGCTTTTCAAAGAACTGAAAAGCCGACGAGAATTTTGTTCTTCATTTGTCCCAAATAGAGAACATAAATTCTGTTCTTCAACTCTCAAGAACCCAAAATTTGTTCTTCAGTTTTTAAAAAAATGATTTTTTTCGTTCTTTGAAAAATTGAAAGACGAATTTTGAGTTCCTGAGAGTTGAAGAACAGAATTTGTGTTCTCTATTTGGGACAAATGAAGAACAAAATTCTCGTTGACTTTCTAGTTCTTTGAAAAACTGAAGTACATATTTTTTTAAGAGTGTAACAGGTATTGGAAATAGCACAACATTCTCTCCACTTTCAACTTGATGTGATGCTTTATGTACGTCCATTTAGATTGCGTTTTCAAGTATATTTTTCATCTGCATCTATTGGCGATAAATAAATAGAAAAACATGTCGACTGTTGATCATCGTTTTGCAATTTTCCTATATACTGTTGTTGTTAATTCCATTATTATTTTTGGGTTACGTTTCTAAATTCAAACACGAACTTTGCTTGTTGCATAGAACAAATAAAATTCAATACTTATCGGTGTGGCCAGCTAACGGTCCCCGTCAAATAGGAAGGTTCAAAAAAGTTTCCTATCTAATTAAATTGAGAGACACATTAGATGCAGTTTTTCACGATGATCACGAAAATCAACTTTAAAAATTTATAAAAATTAAAACTTAAAGGTTAAAATGTAAATTTTGTAATTTAAATTAAATCTTGAAAACCAGTTTGTGTAACCACTTTTTTGATGACTTAAACAGGTTTGTTAGCTTTACTTTAAATTGCATCAAATAGACCACATGTATAAGTCTATATATAAGTCTATAATATTTTCTTGTATCACTGCTCAATCTGAAGACAAATGCGAAAGTCTCTAAACGT